CTACAGCTGTTGTGGAACTACAAGTCCCATGAGGGACTGACTGACAGCCACAGGCATGACTCCCAGAGGTCATTACACCTCTGCCTATGCAATTCATGCCTGTAGCTGTCAAGAGTCTTGCAATGCCTCATGGGACTTGTAGTTCCACAACAGCTGGAGGGCCGAGGTTGCCAACCCCTGTCTTAGGCCCCGTTCACATTGAGCGATTTATCGCGCGGTAATTCCCTGCGATTTACCGCGCGATATCGCTCTCCAATGCTTCTCAATGGGGCAAAGGGTCCTGCTGTCGCGGGTCGTGCGTTGCTACAGCAGGACCCTTTTTGGAGCGGATTTAGCCGCAAGCATTTGCGCGATATCGCACGACAAATCGCGCGATATCGCGCAAAATGCAAATCGCGCGACAAACGCGCGATTTGCGAACCGCTCAATGTGAACGGGGCTTAAGGCTCGTGTATAGGACTCTATATTCTTTTCCATATGCTACAATGACAGCGGGGCAAGTCCCATGAGGCATTGCAGGACTCTGACAGCCACAGGCATGACTCCCAGAGACATGATAAGATTTGTAGTTCCACAACAGCTGGACTGCTGAGGTAGCCTATCAGCGTCCTACACTCTGCAAAGAGCGCTCTAGACCAGTGGTAGCCAAACGTCAGCCCTCCAGCTGTGGCGAAACTACAAACCCCGTGAGACCTGGCAAGACTCTGACAGCCACAGATATGACTTCCAGTGGTAAAGGCATGATGGGATTTGTAGTTTCAGCACAGCTGGAGGGCCGAAGCTTCAACTCCCCTAGTATGTTAATCTATCATGGAATCATCAAAGGACCCCAAAATACAGGTAGGTTGGCTGTTGGTGAATTTTTAGGCCTTAATAATGCTTCACTTGCTACAGAGTACCGGCCTGTGACTGGAGAGTGAAAGTAGAAGCTGGTCTCTTGGTCACTCTGCTCTCTCCTCCTGTCAGCATGTCCCTCGTTAGCCCTGCAGCACACCTGATTGGCTCTTTGTTCTGCTTCTCCTTCTGCCCATCTGAGACTTCCTATCTATGTCCAACGATGGCTGCCATGGCATTTCTCAGGGCGGGTTTCTTGATAGGGGCAACAGTGGATCATGGTCATGTAATGTGTCTATAAATGGCCACGTGTAGCCTTGGCAAGGTGATCACGCAGACCCACAATAGGGACACATGGCCAGAGTGTTGTCACCTTATAACAGGAAGTGCAGGCACTAGGACCCATATGGCAGAGTTACCAGGGAGATGTAAGTTATTGAATCGGAGAATGAATGACGGCGAGACATCTCCAGACGGATGGTCAGGGCAGATGGCAGGCAGGAGAAGCAGAGGCGTCCCGAGGCGGGGTGACACCTGGTGCGGGTATCGGGTGACACCCCGCAGTGACGTCATCGCACATGCGCATGATGACATCACACACTGTACCCCTGTTACCTGCTGGCGGCCATCTTAGTAAAGGACGCCGGCAGAGAGAGGAGGGGACGTCACCTGTCAGGATGAGGTATGCTGCCGAGTCCCCTCCTCTTTCCTGACACTGTCGGGCTCTCGGTCCATGACTGAGTGCCCGACTTTTCAGAGGAGGGTGACAACAAAATGACTGCCAGTCATTTTGGTATCACCCCCTCCAATGGTGTCACCCTTGTGACGCCACTGAGGAGAAGGATCTTTGGGTGGATGGTCAGGTCTGGCATGGACAATGTCCAGGTATCGGAGCAATGATGGACAGTAGTAGAGGTGACAGGTCATCAATCAATATAAGTGCAATCAAGAGTACAAATGCAAAGCAGGGATGGGCAACCTTGGCCCCCCAGCTGTGGTGCAACTACAAATCCCATCATGCATCTGCCTCTGGGAGTCGTGGCTGTCAGAGTCTTGCAATGCCTCATGGGACTTGTAGTTTCAGCACAGCTGGAGTGCTGAGGCCGCCTAACCCTGATCCAAGGCATGAAGAGTCAGGGACAGACTAGACCTCTACCCAGGGTATGAAGAGTCAGGGACAGACTAGACCTCTACCCAGGGTATGAAGAGTCAGGGACAGACTAGACCTCTACCCAGGGTATGAAGAGTCAGGGACAGACTAGACCTCTACCCAGGGTATGAAGAGTCAGGGACAGACTAGACCTCTACCCAGGGTATGAAGAGTCAGGGACAGACTAGACCTCTACCCAGGGTATGAAGAGTCAGGGACAGACTAGACCTCTACCCAGGGTATGAAGAGTCAGGGACAGACTAGACCTCTACCCAGGGTATGAAGAGTCAGGGACAGACTAGACCTCTACCCAGGGTATGAAGAGTCAGGGACAGACTAGACCTCTACCCAGGGTATGAAGAGTCAGGGACAGACTAGACCTCTACCCAGGGTATGAAGAGTCAGGGACAGACTAGACCTCTACCCAGGGTATGAAGAGTCAGGGACAGACTAGACCTCTACCCAGGGTATGAAGAGTCAGGGACAGACTAGACCTCTACCCAGGGTATGAAGAGTCAGGGACAGACTAGACCTCTACCCAGGGTATGAAGAGTCAGGGACAGACTAGACCTCTACCCAGGGTATGAAGAGTCAGGGACAGACTAGACCTCTACCCAGGGTATGAAGAGTCAGGGACAGACTAGACCTCTACCCAGGGTATGAAGAGTCAGGGACAGACTAGACCTCTACCCAGGGTATGAAGAGTCAGGGACAGACTAGACCTCTACCCAGGGTATGAAGAGTCAGGGACAGACTAGACCTCTACCCAGGGTATGAAGAGTCAGGGACAGACTAGACCTCTACCCAGGGTATGAAGAGTCAGGGACAGACTAGACCTCTACCCAGGGTATGAAGAGTCAGGGACAGACTAGACCTCTACCCAGGGTATGAAGAGTCAGGGACAGACTAGACCTCTACCCAGGGTATGAAGAGTCAGGGACAGACTAGACCTCTACCCAGGGTATGAAGAGTCAGGGACAGACTAGACCTCTACCCAGGGTATGAAGAGTCAGGGACAGACTAGACCTCTACCCAGGGTATGAAGAGTCAGGGACAGACTAGACCTCTACCCAGGGTATGAAGAGTCAGGGACAGACTAGACCTCTACCCAGGGTATGAAGAGTCAGGGACAGACTAGACCTCTACCCAGGGTATGAAGAGTCAGGGACAGACTAGACCTCTACCCAGGGTATGAAGAGTCAGGGACAGACTAGACCTCTACCCAGGGTATGAAGAGTCAGGGACAGACTAGACCTCTACCCAGGGTATGAAGAGTCAGGGACAGACTAGACCTCTACCCAGGGTATGAAGAGTCAGGGACAGACTAGACCTCTACCCAGGGTATGAAGAGTCAGGGACAGACTAGACCTCTACCCAGGGTATGAAGAGTCAGGGACAGACTAGACCTCTACCCAGGGTATGAAGAGTCAGGGACAGACTAGACCTCTACCCAGGGTATGAAGAGTCAGGGACAGACTAGACCTCTACCCAGGGTATGAAGAGTCAGGGACAGACTAGACCTCTACCCAGGGTATGAAGAGTCAGGGACAGACTAGACCTCTACCCAGGGCATGAGCAGTCAGGGACAGACTAGACCTCTACCCAGGGCATGAGCAAACACTCCAACCCAGTGATGAAGTACGGGCTTGAACTTCTTGCCTTCCTTTAAAGTTCACGAATGAGGAGCAGGCATGCACACCAGATACCTGAGTGGTAGTGACCAGCAGATGGTGAAGGTTTAAGGCTGCTGGTTACACTCACTTGCCAGCTCGAGCAACGTTTCGCAACCCTAACCGATCCCTTCATCAGGCAGATATAGTAACTATTCCTGATGAAGGGTCCGGTGATGGTTGGGGAACGTTTCACAAGTGATACCGTTCTTTATTTTTAGCGTCTAATAACGGCGTGCTGATACTTTGGAGCTTGGTGCTCGTGAGACTATTTTCACCTTTGCACCCACATGGTGCCATCCGCATGTCATTCCAGCACCCCTCTGAATACATTAGGATTCCGGTCTGGGGTGTGATGGCATGTATACTCTTATGGGCTGCTGTGATTGGCTGTCACATCGGTCACGTGATTAGGACCCGTCCTACCCTACATGGTAAATCCCACCACCATGCTGCCATAGTGTATGTATACTGCCGGCGGCCAGGTATTAATCATGACCACAGTGTACATGGCTGACGCTCACCAGCATGGCGGGGAATTGACGAGGAGAGCTGTGCAATAAGCTTCTTCCTCCAGATAAAATGAGAAGAAAATGTTTCCTATTTGTGCTTTCACTTTGTTACAAAAAGTTACATCTGTAATAAACATCCTCTCACTATATATATAGTCAGGGAGAGACTAGACCTCTATCCAGAGATTTTTTGAGGTTGTGGATTTGGGGTTCTTGGGGTTTTCATGAGCTGTAAGCCATAATCATCACAATTATGACAAATCACGGCTTGAATTATCTTGCTTTGCATGTAATGAGTCTCTCTCATATATTAGTTTCACCTTTTAAGTTGCATTAGTGAAATAAATGAACTTTGCACAATATTCTAATTATTCGAGTTTCACCTGTATATATATTGCTGCAATACTAACCTTATATCCGTAGCTGTACGTTGCAGTTACTCCTTTCTACCACTAGATGTCCTCTTTGCTCCACTGTACACCATTAGCCAGCAGAAGAGTATAGTGCTCAGCACTGCAGCTCAGGTATCTGCTGTGCACACCTGCCCCTCATTCGTGAACTTTATAGAAAGGCCAGAGGTTCAAGCCCGTACTTTACCACCGGAATGGACTGTTTGCTCATGCAAACAGTCTAGTCTAGGTAGAGGTCTAGTCTGTCCCGGACTATTCATGCCTTAGATCAGGTTTAGGCAGCCTCGGCACTCTAGCTCTGGTGAGACTACAAGTCCCACAAGGCATTGCAAGACTCTGATAGCCATAGGCATGACTCCAAAAGGTCAGAGGCATGGCAGGATTTGTAGTTTCACCACAGCTGTAGGGGCAAGGTTGCCTACCCCTGCCTTGGGTTATCCCTGTACATTGTCTGGGCACTGTCTCTTGGTTGCACTTATATTGATTAACGACCCGTTACCTCAGCTACCGACCATTATTGATCCATTTTATTTATCTGAAACTTGGACATTATCTATCCTGGACCCCATCAACCTGGATCAGTGGTGAGCAAACTCCGGCCCTCTAGCCGCAGTTTAACTACAAATCCCAACATGCCTCTGCCTCTGGGAGTCATGCCTGCAACTGTCAGTCTTGCAATGCCTCATGGGACTTGTAGTTCCACCACAGCTGGAGGGCCAGAGTCTGCCCACCCCTCAAGTAATCTATAGGAGTTTGTAGTTCCGCTTCAAATCCGTAGGCGAAGGGGCGGGGCACAGTGATGTAATTGACCTTAAATGGATACATGCCTATATTTGGTAAACAACATTTACACTTATTATGCCTCTGTGCCCATATGAGGTAAATGACCTTTACATGCAGCTTTGGGGCGGAGAATGCCCAGCCTGCAACTGATTGGGTGGAGGTGCCCATGGCACTTCCTAGGTAAGGAAAACACAGACTGTCAGCGGGGTCTCCGAGGGCCGCATGATAAGCCCTAAAGGGCCACATAAGGCCTCTGGGCCGCAGGTTGGGTACTAGGGGTCTATGCTGTGAGACTTAAGAGTCTTTATTGTGATCTTTGAGAATAGATAACTTTACATTACACGCACTTATACAGGTCAGGGGGGGCTTGTTTTAAAGCTCTTTTACTGTCTATTCACAGTCCGGGGGCGGGTCTGTGACGTCCTGGCCTCAGAGGCAGTGGGCTGGATGATGCTGGCCCAGAAGATCAAGGACATCTAGTGGTGGAAAAGAAAACAATCTGTTTTTAACCTTAGTGGTGAGACAAGTTTTTTTACATGCTAGCTTGTGAGTGTGCCAGGAAAAGCTTTTGCTCGTTTACTGTTTAAAGCCCATTTCATGTGCACCTCGCTGTAAAGCTGGTGACGAATCGATGAGTGCGTTTGTCATTTGTTTTGCTTCACTGATTTGGTGCAGTGACGCATAGGGGGGTCTCAGCTGCCGTTGTGATGTGCGGGATCCCTTGTGCGTTCCTGTTCCTTTTGGCGTCCTCCTGACAAACCTGCACCCAATTTGATCTTCTGCCCCATGTGCTCCAAGATGAAGACTCTGATAGTTTAGAGTTAGGACCGCACTATAAGGGGTGCCTTGGCGCGGCTGTGCGGCTTTCCCCTCTTTCTGCAGAAGACGTGTATCCAAACCTCTGTTTTTAACCTTAGCGGTGAGACAAGTTGTTTTACATGCTGGCTGGTGAGTGTGCTGGGAAACATTTTGCTGTTGAACTGAGCAGACCAACGCAGCTCAAGGCACAAGGTGTGAATGAGCCCTAAGGTTAGGTTCACGCCTTTTCGTGCATTTTTCACGCGCGTTGATGCGGGTTTTCATGCACTTTAGTTCATTTTCATGCGTTGTCAGGCCTTTGCTTTTTTTAGGTTTGGGAAATGAAAGCCAAATAACGTGGAGGTTGGTAGAGGGTGGGGCTTGCTG